CAGACTTCTTTGGTAAAACCACGATGGGGCTGGAATAAGGAGAGGTCGAGTGCTGAATTAGGTCCAAAATGACATCGACTTGCTTTGCAACCAAAGGATTCATACGGTACGGTTTGGACGTCACAGGGGGGCAATCCGGAGGTACTTTAATCTCAAACGGCATCAGGGAACAGAACCCTAAATCCGTCGAGGATGTGGAAAACACGTCTTGGAAATCATGCAAAAGATCACCAAGTTCTGTGATGCCCTCTGGTGGCCAACCAGAACCGTGTAAATCAAACTTAACCAACTTCAGGTGAGGCGGCAAGCGATTCCACAATGACTCAAAGCTAGCTCTCCGATCAGCGCTCAACCGCTCCATCACATGCTGTGGTGGCGGCGAGGGCGAAGTGTGAGCGGGGGCAAGGGCCGCAGGGGATGATTTCCCTGGGTCCGGCACAGGAGGATCGGTGGATCGTAGGTTGTGCACGAAGGGATCGTGGCAACGCACCTGCGGATCGACGTTCCTGTCCGCGTTATCCTCGGTAGAACCCAAAATAGGTCCAGGCACCGAACATGAAGTATCAGCTTCGTCACAACACTGTTGTTCAAAATGCTCGGGACGCGCATCAGCGGGGCGGCAGCAGTACCGAGCAAGTCTCGTGGCTCAAGTTCTGCAGCACCCGCGAGCGGCACAAACCGACGTCCGTCGGAGACAAAGATTTCTTCGTTCGACGAAACATCATGCAACATGTCGACAAGGTATTGAGCGGTCAGAGCCGGTGTACCGTTGGAACGTACGAAGTTGACCTCAATCATTTGGTAGTCGTCTGACAATGAGGTACCCGTTGGCCCTGCATAACGTAGCTGGAATCGGTCCGCCGGGGCTGTGAAATCGGGCACATACGCGACCGCACCAGAATCATCCTGGTGGGCAAGCGTTTATTCACCAAAAACGCGATTGTCCAGTGGCCTCGGAGGCAACATACGGTATGTGCGAGTGTTAAATCGCATGAAACTATCGCGTCCCAATAGGATGGGAAACTGCATGGTGTTTGCAGGGACGATGTGCGCCCAAACGGCAAGAGAAGCCGAAGGCGTATCACCGTGGAAAAATTGCACACTCAGACGGACTGTATCAGACGTCTGAAGAGACTCGGATTTACCAAAACCTCCCCAAGAACGTGCGTTACCGTGCGAGATGCCTCTGAGATGGCTCTCATGGCTTTGAGGGTACCGACCGCGTTGCTGTTGATGAACGTGGCCGGTGATCCTGAATCGAGCAGAGCGGCGCAACCATATTGTGATTTGGCTGGCCCAGCGTGGATTTTGACTCGAGTCGTAAATGAAGCGTCGTCAACTGTAACAACACCACCTACGAGGCAAGGACCATGCTCAGCGAGCAACGGTACACGATCTTCCTCATTATACTCAGCGGACGTAACCGCGAGAACTTCAGCACTGTGATCCCTTGGAACATGCGCTGATTTTATGCGGTAACCTGACGACGGGGCGGCCTCCGCGGCGGCAGCCGTCGAAATACGCTCTTGCGTTTCAGGGCTAACCTCATGTATTGTATTCCGGAGCTGAGCGTCGGACGAAACTTGTGGTGGAAGTGTCGGCGTCGGCGCGTGGTCTCGGAGTAGGTCTCGAACAAACTGCAGGCTTTTGCCCAGCAGATTGGAGCCCCGCCATAAAGAGGGTTGGATTGCAGCAGGATCATCCGCGCGATGTCCAATGCCCCGACGACGCCAGTGTAATGGTGTTTGACCCCTTCCTTCAGAATCAATCACCTTTGAGCTGTGTGAAACTCCACAGTAGCAGGTTGTTGTTGCTTTCCGTTGTTTTCTTTCTCTTGATTAACGCTTTCCAAGCCAACTCACAATATCCCACGCACACACGAATCAGGGATCGTCTGTACGCACACACTGAATAGAAGGGCACATATCTCGGCATAAAGCCCTGATCTAGCATGACGTCACGTCTTACCATCCGACGGCGCCAAATAATCATGATCAACCACGATCACATGTCTACCTCCAAATACCATAACAATTATATATATCCCAACAACAGCAGTAGTAGTAGTAGAAGCAAGTGAGGAATGTAGCTCGTGTTGTAGGAACGTATGGTGACTGGGAAAACGAAGGAAATGATCAGTAGCTTCTCCTTTGTCTGAGGTTTTCGGGTTTTCTGACCGCAAGCCGCGGGATTGGTCGTGTCGGCCTCACTCATTTCAATGGAACCTAACGTATTCCACGACAAAAAAAAATCATGGAGACCCCGTCATTTTGTGACGGACAACCGTAGTATTCTCCGCGGTGTTCTTCGACGGTGCACCACCGCCAAGGCCGCGGTTCGAGCGATTTTTGTCACGAGGTAGAATAAACCGCACCGTCAAAAAAACGTGCGACGGTGAACCGCATCGCACCGTACCGTCAAACTTCGAGATGAAAAAAAACGCACCTTGCCGCACCGTCGAATTTGGAGATGATAAAAACCGCACCGCACCGCACCGTCAAATATCGAGATGAAAAAAACTGCACCGCACCGCACCGTGACCTTGTCAAGATACAAAAAAGCCGCACCGCGGTGCGGTTCCACACCGTCAACATCCCTGATACTTTTTTCCTGACCTCTTGGCGCACTTGTCGGCCCGCCTCTCTCTCGAGCCCTCTCTGAGAGATCGATCGATGTGATCAAGTGATCCCGCAGCAAACCACGTCCATTCCGCTTCGGATTACGTAGTATGTGCATACATCCATACATTCCTATCAAACGAAAACGACTTTAAAAGTCTCGCACTCTCGATCAATCCATCGACTGGAACCTAACACTCCCTTCCGCGACTCTCTCGATGTGCCACATGAGTGTTTGTATCCTTTGTTGCGCACCCCTCTTTGCAAGTACCGAAAGTAAGGATGCGAGAGAACGCACGGGGGAGCGATTCGATTCTTAAATGATTTGTTGGCTTGTTTTTGTCCCACCCCCGTGCGATATCAGCGGTACGTGCGATATCACCGAACCGTGCGTCTCTCGCATCCTTACGGTAAAAGTTCACTATCCGAACTCGGTTGGACAGATCAGGGTAGTAGGTGTACTCAGGGCCGTTTTTGCCTGCGGTGGGCTGCAGAACTCTCGACACAAGAGAGAGAGAGCGAGAGAGAGCGAGAGAGAGCGAGCCTGCAAAACAGAATCAACCAGTCATCATTGATATACCTCGGAAATGAACGCCAGAACGCTGAAAATCTGCAGTTTATGTACAGATTGATGCTTGACGTGGAATCGGCCGGCGGTGGCCTATCGCGCGTAGATAATTGTGTAGATATGCCAGCGGGGTCGTGTATGTGTGCGTCTCGAAGTTGCTTGCGATCAAAGTGTGTTTCTTAGGCCTTCGTGGGCTGGGAACAGCAGGGCATCCGAACACTGAAACAGGCGGGCGGGCGCATCATCGCAGGATCACAATCCCCTTCCATCTTATCTCTCTCTCTCTCAATTGACTGCAATTCCCTCATAAGCACAATATTCCAACCATAAACCAACACTCTCTCACTTCCATTCTCCATATTATACACAGTTCATGGTTCATTACCTCATTTGACGATATCTCAACCAGAACTAACACATTCTCAAGTCCATTCCATGACGCCTCAACATACATACTGTGATTAAACTACCCCAAGTCTTCTTACACTCACTAAAACTAGGGTTGACTTATTGCACGACAATACAGCATCGGTTTCGTTGTACTTGTATTGCATGTCTCCTTGTCCGCGCGGTGCAGTGTGTCCGATGGATGGACTCGATAAATCGACAGTTGAGGCGACCAAGAAGGTGGCGATGAAAAATAATCAATAGTTGCGGTCCATGAAGAAAATGATGGCTGGGCGTGGGGCGCACCTCTTTTCGAAAGCGTCGAAACGTGTTTCTGCTCTATCTTGCTCAGTTCCGAGTTCCACATGACGTGGTAGCCAAAAGGTGTACACCGCGCGTTTCTGGTCGACAGAAGTGCCGCCAAGACCTTTCTTTGGAGTGATGTCGTCATCACCTATCCACCCATGGAATTCCACCGACGACGCGATTTTGACGGCAACGAAACTGACGTGTGAGTATGTGTACCCACTGCACACTGCTGCGGGCTTGCGGTCCACCTGTAGTCGAACTAAGGCGCCATGAGCATGCAGTAACAAAAATTGAATAGCCTCGATCGACGTTCAAATAATCGGGATGATGTGAACAGCTCGGAGGAATTCTGCACGTGACACTCATGCAGGGAACTGCTACATGAATGCGTACAATCCCACCAGGTGCCGCGGACTACTGTACTCCTTTTCCTGTGCTGCCCGTGTGCACTGAAATAAAACTGAGTGTTACCGAAGTATTTAACGAGACAACGCTGTCTTTCCAATTCCGCCCAGGGTTCCCACACAAACAAAAAACGCGCACGTTTAGCCAACAAAAAATATTCACCACGAAAAAATGCCTCAAATTCGATGACACAAAACCCGACCACCACACCCAGACCTCACCCGTACCTCGACCAACAGTACTAAAAAGTATGCATGCACACAGCAGTAGTTTATTGCTTACTGCTATATCCAAACAGCGTAAGCACGGACAAAAATTCATGCCACAAACCATACTCCACTTCGAACCGTGTGGATGTTGGTTAAACTTAGCCACCCCAAACTCATAGCGTATTCACTCTGCAGACAACCCCCCCCCCTCCCCCCACGGGCAACCGCTCCGTACTTACTTGGATTCGAAAATAATGAACGAAAGAACAACACTGCGTCACTGCCGGTCAGGGAAAGCATGCAAATTCGAGCTCGTACACGCGAAGGCAGGATGTTGACACCAGATACTTTCCCTTTCCCTGGAAATGATAATCCAGGTTTTTTTTCGACACCATAAAAAACTTCACACCTACCTTCACGTCACAAACAATACAATGAATTCGACAAGCAATCATTTCCCCACACACATAACGCCGTCAAAGCACAACAATCAAAGGCCGCCCTCTACTGCTCCCCAAGCAGGGCCAGGTAGTCCCCGCTGGCTACGACACTGGGAATTGTCGGGTAGGCGTCCCCGAGCTCCAACCTTGCCTGTTACGGAACACCAAGGGAGGGCAGGGCGGGACGACATGGCGGGTGCGTTGGTGTCGAACAGAACAAATGTCTGTGCGGGCCATACGTGGCACCGACAACGTGTGTGTGTGGTGCGAAGTGAATTACGAGTGAAATGTGTCGCCAATAATATCAAACTGTTTTACGTGATATCTGTAATTTTCGCGCAATGGCCTGACCTCCCCGGGACCAGATGCGGCGACAAGAAGACAGGACTTGGACTTATCGACCATCCTGAACGACCGAAATATTCTTGGTCCTCTGGTTTTCGACCACCGTAAGACGTGAAAGGAGGGCGACTATGGAGTCACGTGGACTCCATCAAGGGGGCCGTGGCACAGGATCAGCTACGGACACAACATAAATGCGACACCACCGCCGCCGCCGCTGTAGCCGCCGCAAAGAACAGCCGTGCTGGGAGACGGGTTTTAGGTGAAGGAATCGTATGGGACATTATTTCATGAGAATGATACGGTTTGATTTCGCGGGGGAAAAAACGAGAGAAACGGTGTCACTTTCAGGGCTGAAGGTCGAAGAATAGCAAGCACAGAAAATATTATTTGCAGCATGTCAAACGTAGCTGCGTCTTGACACAGGCTATGCACCTTATTGTTTGGATCAGCCCAGTAGTTCTACGCCCCACCCCGGCCGAACAACGCATTTGCGGGGCCCCTGACAAAAGTCGGGAAATACATGTCAGGACGCTACATTGTGCTACTACCTTCGGGCGGATAACCACAACCGACGGGAGTGAAAGGCGGGCGAACCAACAAAAAACAGCCTATGAACTTATATTGTATATATGATAGGAGAAAAAGGTCATGTTCGGCACCGCCACACGGCAGTGGCCGGGAGCATCACCTCAGCCTCCAGCGCGTGCAGCGCCGCCTCTACCCTTCGCGTGATGGCGCTGTACAACTGCTTGTCCGCGGCGGAACAAGACGCCCACTTGCGCTGCGTTTTGGTATCCGTCGTTTTCCGCACAACGAAAGGACGCGCGTCCGCCCACAAGGAGGAAGAGAAAGAGCGCGAGGCGAATCGCATGGATTCATGCGTGCAGTTTATTTGCGCACGCAACGAGGGAAGGGGAGGAAGCATGAGCGGAGCGGCAAAGGAGGGGATGCGGGGCAAAGGGCATGTCGTAAGCTGGATGTAACATCTTGCAATCTCTGGAAGTGTAACCGTCGAGCGAAATCAGAAATCCAAACCTCGACAGGTTTGGCAAAACGGAGGTGGCCACTCAAAGAGTGAAAAAAATAGCGACGAAACGCAGGATGACAAGAAAAAACGAAGATCAGGTTGGCAAGCTGTACGCGAAGGAAACGTCGCGAGACTCCCGCCGGGAAACCCGAAACCCGTGTGAAAAACGGGAACCCGTGTGAAAAAACGGTTTCACGGTTGGGCAACCCGTGTGCAACAAAGGGTTGTTCGGTTGGGAAACCCGTGCGAAGAAACGGTTTCACCTCATCGTCGGCGCCCCCTTGCGCGACGGCCGCGGAGTACTTCCACAGCGGTCCGTGCTCGTCCTCGTGCTGAGCGAGGAGGTCTTCCACTTCTATCGCGTCGCCCACCCTAACTGTTATGTCGTTCAAGAACTGGGGTTGTCTCTGGGGGGTAAAGCGGGGGGGGGGAGGGAGGCGGCAAAATCGTCAACAAGCCGTTGCGATTGCTTCTGGCAGGAAAGGCAAAGCAAAAACAGGGGGGGGAAACACTCGTGTTGCCATGTGTCGGTTGGAATCACGTTCATCGTTTGCCTGACGAAGACATAACATACAAAAAGGATCTACCATCATTTTTTCATTCTGGTTGGTTTAGGTTCGCTGGGCTCTTCGAGTCCAAACATGTCGCAGCTGTGGGAGCTGTTGAGCTTGGGAAACGTCACGACTGGCTGGCTAGTCTTGCTGCCTGCTTTTAATTTTCGTGTTGCATCGCCCCTCGGTGACGCTGTGCGCTCAATTGAGCCCACTCCGGTGACACTGCGCTCTCATGAGCCCACTCCGTAGGGAGACAGACCCCTTGTACGTCACATACCACACATAGAGAGAACATGCTTTTGTGGCGTCGTATTTTCGTGCCGCCATGACTAGCATCTTTTTTCTTACCACCGGTCTTCCTTCCTTTCATGGAACAACGACCACAGGTACGCGCGCACACACCAAACCTAGCTTTTCACCCACGCATCCACTCGCCCACGACTACGACTACGACTACGACTACGACTACGACTACGACTACGACTACGGCATCCACGGTTACGAGTACGCCCCACCCACCCCACCGGCAATACATCCTTCGTCGCGGGGTCCTCCGCCACCAGGTTCTGCATCCCCGTGTGGAAGAAGGGCACCACCCGCGGCGTTCGCGGGGCGTGCGCGATCATCCTCCCCACCCCCCACTTGAGTCGGCCCAGGTCGCTCGAGGCAGGCGGAGACCTTCCCCCTATTGTCCCCGTCTACTCTCCCGGTTTCCAATGACAAGAAAGAAAGTCGCAGCGCAACAAATTGGACAGAAGTGGGGGGGGGGGGGAGGGCTCATTTGACTAGAAATTTTGCAGCGCGACGACGGGATGGGGGTGAGGTGAGCGACTCACAGACACTTGCAACCGTCGCTCGAGGTACCGGTTATTACCGCTCGCGTCAATCGTGCACCGGGGTTTCTAAGCACCGAGCAAACACCTATTACCTATACGAAAAATGCCGCGTATGAAAAGCAAGAAAGCCCTACACCCATTCCATCCCCCTGGAGGAAGATTCTAATAGCTCAACGACTATGACCGATCCGATACCCATCGCGGTGAAGGGGGGGTGACGCTGAATGAAACGTCCTTACAACTAAGTCTGAGTGACCACGCGTAAGGGATGCAATGCACGTCATGACATTTAACAAAAAAAAAAATTGCGTCACCTGGACGGTTTTTCCCTCTGGGAATATGTGGCACCACCCCCCTGCCGCGAGCTTTCGCGAAAAGTTCAAGAGCAGCTTCTGGTCTACCCCGCCACCGCGCTCGATGGGCAGGACCTGAGCAAGGCAGACATTATTAGCACACCATCCATTAGTGAAACGACCATCACGTTGAATGACGAAAACCACCCCGTGAGAGTTTGTTCACTCACCGCCCGCGACACAAAAGATAAAAGGGTGTCACACACAAAACGCCCGACCAGTACCTAACACATATCATCTGCACCTTCCCAACATAACATATATGAGACACACAAGACAGCTACCAAACTGTCTTGTTGAGCCTGTTACCCGCAGGGGAGAAGTCCCTATATGCTGTCTGGGAAATCGTAAACATACAGGTACTTTCTGACGCTATGAATCCATTGCTAATCTGTCTCAGACTCTTTTCTATGATAGAGATGGTTTCGTTGTGTCATATTAAGAAAAAAAAGAAAAAAAAAATGATGCCATGCCTTCGGCAGCTACGGTCGGCGACACAAAAAATGACACCATCGCCTGGACCGATTTCACAGCTCTACATATTACAGCACGACGAACAGGATGCATACGATACGTCTTTTGGGTAGCTCTCAACGAGACGGTTCTAGCGCCGTCATGTTCGGCACCATCACTCTTTCTGCTGAGGAGCAATCCAGCTTTGAATATCGGTGCAGGGGGTGTGATTGTATGTCACCTACCGTAACTGCATCAGGATGCCGCTCTTTTGATACCTTTGAGACAGCGGTCGGAAACGCCCCCCTCTCCACCAACCCCTAGCACTCACAAGAAAATCCTGCAAACCAATGTAAACAAAACTAAACTGGCGCAAGGTGATGTCCCCCAGAAGAGGGAGGGGGGGGGGTAGAATCGGAAATTACGGGGCCTCCTAGTCTACTCCGTTTCTCATTATGCATTTCAACCGTCAGCCCGTTAGCGCGGTTGATGCTATTTGAAGAAAAAAATTACAAAAACTTGATTTAAGCCGTTGGCACTGACGGCTATTCATTGGTCAGCCGGTTGGCGCCGCTGATACTAAAAACGAAAACACCCAAACACACACACACACACACACCTTTCCAGCGCCGAAAAACGAAGCGATCGCCCTCGTCTCGAAGCAGATCTCCTGGCTGCAGACCGACCACCGCATCAGCCTCGGCCGGACCACGATATCCCAGGGCAGCAGCACCGCCATCACCGCGGGGTCGTCCAGCGTCGACGCGTGGTTCGCCACCGTCAAGAGCGGTTCTCCCTCTGGTCTGCCGAGACACAGGGAAGGGGCGCTCATTTAGTCCTTGCCGTTCATTACCACGCGCCCCGATCGCCGGCGCAGTACCGGGACCCAGCGACTTTTCAGCGGTCGGCCTCCAGGACTGCAGACTGTAGCAAAGCGACTACAAAAAAGGGTGAGCCAGTACTCCCGTCCGCGGCTTCACAAGGGGTCAGAGCGCGAAATCGATTGTGACTGGGGACGGTGACGTTCGCAGCAAGGCGGAGATGGCAGGGGGGCGGACACAACTATCACCACGTCTTAGCTGCAAGAGAGCAAGCACAACACCAGCTTGGAGTCCGGTCTCGTTCGAACGACGTATCGACCGCCGCCGGGCCAGCAGGGGATCAGCGATTGTGCGTCGAAGCCGGCGGGAACGAGAGACATGTGAATTACGAGCCCTCTTACCGACCTACTCGATGCAGGGAACCTACGTATTCTATGTAGGAAAAGAGCAACGCAAAGAGCAAGAGAGCACGCCTATTGCCCGCCCTCTCCAGGAAAAATCGCAAACCCAAAAAACAGCACACCTAACCCCACCCTCCTCTTGGCATCAAACCTCATCAAACCTCGAAATCAATGTCACCTGTCGCGCACGAGATCCACCAGCCGCGCGTGCCGCTCGTCCTTGACGAGGCGCGTGTTGTTGAGCCCGAACAGGACCGCCCGGCTCAAGACGGCCACCGGCGTCATTACCGCCGACCTCGCCCCTTGCAGCAGTATCGGCTCCGCCTCCGTCGCGTCATCGCATCGATCCTGCTGTTGGTTGTTTTGCGTGTGTCATTGTTGTTAGCATCGACCTAGTCTGTGTGTACCCGTATTACTAGCATCTTGCGAGGGGAGGGAGTTTGGCGGCAAACTGCTGTATCGCGGCAATATATTGCCCCCAGTGTACCCCTGGATCGTAGCCATTCGGCGAAGGCAGGGGGCGTTCGCCAGCGCACGAGGCGGGTGAGTACCAGGCCTAACACACAGGAGACGTACAGGCTCTTGCAAGGTATGTACAAGAACGGGTCCGCAGTCCGAAGTCTCAAGAAACGAGGTTCGACTTCTTGCTCCGTCGCCATCGCGTAGCGCAGGTTATTTTCGTGCGCTGTTGGTGTTAAGGTCGACTGCTGAGTTACGCGTATATGTAAAGGAGGGGCGGTTGGCGCAGGGAGAGAAGGCGACCACGTGTGCAAGAAGTGTGGTTTCGTTGTTGAACGACTTTTGCACGACCAGGGATACTTGACTCACAATGAGCACATATAAGCGTTACGAGTGTAGAGGGCATCCCGCGAGGGCGTCCGCCACCAGACAAAGTATTGGCCAAACATATTGTAGATAATTTCTCGGTACTTGTATAAAAAGATCTCGTTCTCTAGCCTATCGAAGATACACGCCGATGGCAGTTTTGAGTCTTGTGTGCATGTATCAGGAGATCAGGAGTCCCACCTCATAAAATCTGTTGTGCGGACTGCTGCTGCAACATCCTTGAACGTTACATCGAGAGGCCCTACGGTTCAATGTTATGGTGGGTGCTACTGCTGCTTTCGTCAGCGTCTGTCGACAGCAGGCAAAACGGCAAAGCGACGACCAGACCGGTTCATCACAGCATCACAGCTGTAGAGGTGTCCAAGCGTGTCACAGCGTGTCACAGCTGTCACAAAGAGTGTCACCACGACAACAACGTCACACCGCGGGTTTATGTCGGTTCAATGCCGGGGAATCAGGGGGAAATACGCGTGTTGCTAAGCTGAGAATGAACGACCGGGGATAGAAGCAAGCACCTGCGACAGCAGTAGAACGCTCCCCAGGTTGGCTTGCAGCGAAGCGACCGTTCCATGCATATATTTCAAGGAAAACTCGTTGCATCATCCGCGGAATAACCACTGCCACGTACGTTGGGCGACATGCTTCGTCTTTTGTCCAAAAGCTCCCCGCTCGGATCAGGGCGGTAGTAATACGCTGCACCCGAAACGGAAGCCGACACGGCGCCCGTTCCAGCCAAACATCTTCGCCACGCCATGTCTCACTCGCACTCGCTGGCTGTAGTCTCTTGCTGTGTGTGCAGCTGCTGAGTGAGAGCTGTCCAGCCCGGATGACACTGGCGGGGGGTTCGGTGGGTATTCCCTATCCACGGAGCCCCCATCCGAGACAGCCAGCCGTGGAGGCACACCACGAATCAAACATTCTCACACAGCTCCCACTGCAGCGGCTTGCTCAGCTCGGTTCCGCTCCCTCTCTCCGACAACATACAACACGTTCGCGTTCGCTCACACGATCGAGTCCTGTGTGATTCAACCACCGTGTCACCTGCACGGTAGAGAGTCCCCGCAGAAAATCATCGTCAACATCAACAGAGCGGCGATCAGCAGCAGCTCTCAGCAGGCAGTCACACAGCGAGGTGCCGAGCAGCGCCCTTGGAGGAGGGAGCCATCGGAGTGCTGCTACAACAAGCGAGCCATTATAGGAGGAGCGTGCTCTTGGAGCGGTGTACGTGACGGCAGGAGCTGTATAGTAGTAGCATCACAGCAGGAACTGCAAGTTGCCACACCCACAGCAGTCTCCCGTCTCAAGGTTTCAAACAAACCATGAAGTTTGGCAAAAACATCGGGAGGGTTGTGGAGCTATCGGACCCGGAGTGGTCGCCATTCTGGATCAACTACAAGTTCCTCAAGAAGAAGGTCAAGGTGCGTGCGTGCCTCTTAGAGTTGACACACAGCGAGAACATACATGGAGCAGAGCGTTTCAGCAGCAGCTGCTTGCTGTGTGGTTTTTTGGGTGCGCTTCGTGAAATGACGGAGATTGAAGATTTCGCCAGCAGCAAGCCTTTGTTCAGCATGTTCGCGTCATGTCTATCTACTCCATGACCGAATCTCTTGTCTCCTGACATGCCTTCACCTCCTCCGTTTTCCATCCTGGAAAGCCAAGCTGGCGGCAACTTCCACTTCCAAAGCGCTCGTAACTCTGTCGTGTTGTACATGCCAACGGGTCATGTGTACAAAAGATGGAGTACTTTGCGCCGAGATATGCAGCTTCATACATGTAAAGCGTCGTGCCTGCCTGTGGGAAGGGCCGAGGACACCACAAGGCTCTGCTGCCGTACGTTACCATGATAACACATGAAGCTGTCGTTTCGGGGACATGGAGGTGGATCACACGCTTTGGAACTTTGGGCGCGATCACGTGTGCATAGCAGTAGCTGTCTAGACGATGAACACGATGCCCCCCGCACATACCACGAAAGGGATTGGATCCATTCTGAGATGGAATATCAGCGGTTGAGAGATTCGCAAGATTGATTCATTCTGAACATGTCATCGGACATTACAGGGGTTGCAGCCCCACCCGCCCTAGGCATATTACAGAGCACCGCCGACGACTTACTTTTTTTTTTTTTTCTCCTATCATTGGATTCTGTCGTCTGCCCCTCTGGCCCCTATCCTCCACTTCTACCTAGCTAGACGACCCAACCGGGGTCACATAGGAGGGGGGGGTTGGACCCCCTCCTGCGGTTCCTGCCTGAGATATTTTATCGCGAGAAGGGTACAGCAATCCCTTCCCTCGCGACTTATGAAGTCGATCGAGTTTACTAACAACGCGTTTCGCAGCGCGTCGCTTCCAACTTACTGTACGGCACCAACCTTCGTTTCTGACCCTGCGGCGGTGGATTGTGGATTTGACAGCGTACAGCAGCTGCAGCAGCGTCGGCTTGTGCCGCCTGCCCTACCAACATCGCGCACGCCCCGTTTCAAGAACACAGTACTGTACGCACAGCAGTTTGGATAGGGCGTGAGCTCGATAGGCGCTCTCTATCTTTTTTTGTGGGCGTTTCAAACAAAAAACAGGCGCCGCATATTGCACTTTCGAAAACGCTTGTTGGGCGACATGCAGGCGAATTGGAAAAAAATGGGCGAACCCCGGAGAAGCATCTTATGCGAAATTTACAGTGTGTTTGTCTGCTTGTAGTGTATGAATAAGGGCAGCATCAGTCGCGCCGCTGTTACAACGCGAGCCCATGATACCATTAGGCAGGAAAGGCTGGGCGGCGGCGGGACTGTATGGGGCTCCGTGGTACTTTGTAGGGATGTACCAAAAAAATGGCAAGAGCAGGCGCCAGCCGGGGAAAGTAGGCGCAGGCGCCCCAGGTTAGGCGCAGGCACCCCGAGAACAGGCACAGCGGCCGACTTTAAGGCGAGTTTTAGTCGGCTCGAATATCGTGTCTTTTAGGCGCAAATCTCTAACAAATTTCGCGTCTTTGGCGAGCGCCTATCGAGCACAAGCCTAGGTTCGGAAGAGAGAGATGGGGGGATCGCCCCCGCGCGCGTCCCCCCTTCCCCCCGCAGCAACAGTTCACTTGCAGCACCCGTGCATGATGTGCTCACCTAAGATCATGCCATACTATTCATAGATACGTTTGCCAACAGCAGTTGGCGAGCGTCGGTGAGGACCTTCACCCTCTTGTCCACGTCCTATGCACAAGACCTATTAAAGACCCAAATCGGGTACAACCATTGTCCGTCGAAGAACAAGAGGCGGCACTGTTGCTGTGTGCCTTACCTAGTCCGTAGCGCTACATAGAAAGTGGAGGGTGTTAGCATTCGTCACAAGGGCTGTTGAGGCGAACATGCGGCAGTCAAGGTCGCCAAACACCGGTACTCTGTCTTGCCATGGCATGGGAGGTGTTTCGTGCATGATCAACCGCCACAGCCCTACGGGTCTTGGCACTGCTTGGGTGTCGATTTTTTTTTGTGTTCCGATACTAAATATTACCAGGTGTTCCGTTGGCGTATGTGTACGTGACGTGGAGACAACTGGATATTTTTTAGACAGCACAGGCGAGGGGGGGCATGTTTCGGCGTACTACATGCCAACACGCGCGCACGGAACCTGCGCATCTGGGGGGGGTCAGTTCCCACCAATTTCCCCAATGCTTTTGCAAAGTACGGGGTTGAGCGTTGGTTTTCCGAAGCTCTCCAAACAGAGTTGCTCTTTGAAATCTATTTTCATGTGACTTGGTACTTTTTCGGAGAGAGGCCTCCTCCAAGTATATAATTCATGCCCATTCGGACCGCGCACTTTGGCCATGCGCTGATCGAGCTGGTAGAGCACTTCGAGTCCGATGCTAGAACGACGTGTTGTCATTGGTCAGCCGGCAGGCATGGTCATCGCAAATGAAGCCCACGCGAACAGTCGTAGGCCCTCTATTAGGCGGGTTATATACGGCGGGTAAAATTGGCTGGCACAGACGGAATCATCAAGTTGTTCTATGCATACGCATTGAATACGACTAATGAAGAGAGCAACGCGGTGCGGAACGTGCTGTCTCTCTCTCTCTCTAAACTCTGTGCATTGGGTGCGTGGTGTGTGGTGGGCAGAGGACACGGTTTTATGTTTCTTTCATAACTTGTGGTAGGTGTCACGTGTGTGCTCGGTGCCTGTCGCCCCATTCACAGATGAAGACGTGATCTTGTGGCCCGCCGCCTGATTCAACCTAAATTAGCGATCGCCAATCCAAGGGTCGGGCTTGCATGAAGGACGGTGGCCGCGAAGTGCACGCCGAAAAGGATGGGGATGTGTGTTTTTCGCTCCAAGTTTCCCAGCCCTGGGCTGAAACGTGGAGGGGTGTCTGCCCCCCCAAGTCCTGCTTTGTCGTCGTTTCTATACTCGAATTGTCTGGAACATTTCCAGAGCCGGTCTTCATAATAATACAGCACGTGACCGTTGAGCGTATCCCCTATAAACAGGCAGTAGGATAAGACAGTGACATTACCTCTCGCGGCTCGGTGAAGCCACCCTCTCCCGAGTAGATAGGCGCTCCGTGTGGACGGTGGCCATGAAGTGCCAGTCGACGGAGGCTACCGTCGTTGAAACATATGAGAACTCCTTCCATTCTCGCGTTGTCCTTATCCTCCACCTCCTGCGCCCCCCCTGTCGGGACACGTAGATGTTTTATTAGAAATTGTTCGTGTTTTTTATCCCGGTACAGGACTGGCTGACGCCTTGTCTTTTCCTTGGTCGGCCGGTTAGCGCCGTCGATGCTAATTGATAAAGGACACGAATTCACTCAATCCGCCTCTGATGTTATTTGGTGGTACTGGAAGGCTCTGGAGGTGCCGTCGGGAAAGCCGGAAGTATCGCCGGCCAAGCGTAGTGACCCACAGGCGATGGCGAGATCGGCGGGAGAGGTGGAGTTCTACCGATGTGAGTCGACCACTGGGCCGCATCGTGCAGTGCATCGGTTGATTGCAGCTGATGTTGTTTGTAGGGGGGGCGCCTTTCCTCTTTGTTATTGTTGCCAGGCGAAACGGATGGCATGTGTGCCACCAAACGGATCGACCCTTGCGTACCAGATCAGCCTGTGAGGACCGGTTGTTGGTTGTCTTGCCAGCCGTATGTATGCTTGATAGAAATCGTCGATTTGTGTATGACTGTTGTCGCCACAATGGGGCTGCTACGCGTGCTGCCGCTGCTGGCTTTATTAGGACTCGCGGTCTCGCACCCTGCATTCTGACGTCTCTCCTTTTGCTTCCCTTTCCATGTCCTACCCTGCTCCACAATCCAACCCTCCTGGCCCGTTCCTGACCCGTCGTTTCTGTTTTTTTTCATGTATTTGTTTCGTGTTGGCCAACTGGGTCGGTACCATGCCACCAGTGCTTCGGCAAGAGCTGCGCAAGTGCTCCGAGTTTTTCACCGGCGTGGAGGGCCAGGTGTGTGCGCGTGCGTGCTTTTTTGTTGTGCGCTATTTTTTCCATGTGCGTGTTCTTGATTGGCGTAGACCGCGCTAGTCGGCTGACCAAGTAAAAGACGTCAGTGGCAGTGCGGTTGAAACTACGTGCTTCTGAAGGACACAATCTGTGTGTGTGCGTGTGCGTGTGCGTGCGCGCCTTTTTTTTTTTTTTCTGTGCACTATTGTATCATGTGTGTGTGTTGTTCTTTAGCATCGACCACGCTAACCGGCTGACCAACGAGAAGACGTACGTATCGTAGCGGGTTATGAGCTTGTTTTTATTTTTTGTGTGTGTGTACTCTTTTTGTATGTGTGGTGTGAGAGAGAGAGCGTTGACTCGTGGGGCGGCTGAAGCAGCGCAAGCTTGGTTTCTTTAGCACTAGCAGCTGAACTCCACCACCACCACCACCCTGGTGGGTTTTGAACTTGTTCGTGTCCAGGACGGACTTTTAGTTTATCGGACCTCTAGCGAGGCGCTAGCGATCGTCGCTGCCGCTGTTCGTGCCAACACGGGTTTTGAGACTTGTGAACGCTTGTGCGCCGTCTCTGTGCGAGTTGGCGTTGCTGGGCTCTGCATCACATCAGCCTCGCCCTGCCGTCCAATCTCTCCGTGCTCGCACGTACCACTGATTTTACTCGGCCCCATTCGGCGTTTCTCCCGACATTTTTTCGTCGTTGCTGCACTCGTTCGCCCCCCCTTTTCCCTTGCCGCTCTCTGCTTGACCTTCCTGTCCGCGTTCGTGTGCGAACGTCAAACGCCTGTTGTGTTGTTTCCTCGACTACAACGTCAACAACAAACGACAACACCAATTTTTGCGTTCAGTTGGGGGTGAGACAGGCCAGGGTGAACGAGGGGTGGCGGCAGCTCCTCCTGCCCAACGTGGTGGTGGAGGGCAACCCGAACAAGAGGCTCATGGCGGCGTGCGTGAAGCTGTACAAGGACCTGCTGCTGCTGGAGAACTTCGCCATCATGAACTACTGCGGGTTCAGCAAGATCCTCAAGAAGCACGACAAGCTCACGGGGTGCGTCGTCCCCCCCGCCACTGTTGGTTGGTGCACGCCCGCTACGCACACACACATACGCGAGCTAGCATACACACTCTTCTCTCTCTCTCTCTCTCTCTCTCTCTCTCTCTCTCTCTCTCTCTCTCTCTCTCTCTCTCTCTCTCTCCCCCTCTCTCTCCCCCTCTCTCCCTCTCTCTCTCTCTCTCTCAATGAGCTTTTGATGCGTCTGCTCCAGTTCTAAGGTGATGTTTCGCGTTGTACACGGAAGTGTTCCCCTCTCACTCTTGTGTGCGGTCGTGTGTTTGTGTGTTTTTCTTCTTCGCCCGTTTCGGGGCGGTGTCGCTTTGCGATGCTGCTCCCTCTCTGCGTCTCTCTCTCCCTCTCTCTCCCTCTCTCTCCCTCTCTTTTCCCGCATGACTAGTACCCCCTCCCCCTCTCTCCAAATCGAAACCAAACCAAACCAAACCAAACCACCCCAAACGACAGGTTCAGGACTCGCGAGAGCTTCATGAAGAACGTCGTGAAGAACGCCCCCTTCGTGCAGTACCCGAAGGTCATCAAGATGCTCTCCGCAGTCGAGGCGCTGTTCAAGAACATCGAGAGCCTGCCTTCGGCGAGTGCCGAGGCGGGCACGAGGGTTCCGGTAAGATAAGCACAACAACGAGGAACTGGGGGGGGGGGGTGGTGCTCGTCTTCGATATCATATTTTGGAATGTCATTTTGCATTTTGCGGCACCCGCGGGACGCTTCACACCCACGTCCCGGAGGGAGACCTTGTTTTTTTTTTGGGGGGGGGTAAAGACATGTTCAACGACGATGGCGATTCAGCAGTAGACCCTTCTTTTTGATGTTTGTTCAACAGACTTCTCCGAACGTCTTCAGTAGACGAGGTCGTATTAGACCCGACTGTCCACAACGGTATGTTCAACGACGATGGCGATTCAGCAATAGACCCTTCTTTTTGATATGTGTTCGACAGATTTTCTCCGAACGTCTTCAGTAGACGAGGTCGTATTAGACCCGACTGTCCACAACGGTGGTATTGTGGTGAGCTGCATGGGTGGTCTTCGATTCGTAGTCGTAGGTGCTAAGACAGCTCTGTCGGGGGTAGGAAACCATACGAGGTGTACCACCTATCTTACAGTTGGACACCGACGCGCTGAGTTTTTCCTCGCCAGCAGCGGAATATTCACCTTACTGTCCCGGTCCCCATCCGCCGTCCCCCCACCTCTCCCTCCGGGTGGCCGTTTTTTTTTTGTTTTTTGTGCACGTGCGTCACGCAGCTTCGAGAGGAGCAGCTGTTCATAGACACGATGCTGACGATCAACACCGAGGCCTTCCGCCTGCAGCAGGCGGAAGGGGCGGACATCGGGTGAGGGGGAGGCTGCCGCTCGCGCTGTGTTTTCGTTTGTTGGCCTGGCTTGCGGGTGTCGCTTGGATCGAGGTCGCCCGTACGTGTGCTCGCTTAGCCTTGTGTGGCTGCTACCTTTGCTTCACTGATGTTTGTCATGAGTAGGTGGTGGGCCCCTTGCGTGCAGACGCGCGTAATGTGTATGAGAATGCTCCTGCTGTGTTGCTTGATTCCGTACGAAATGTCGTGGGTCGCCCTAACTGTGCGTGCTCGCCGTTGCCTGGCTCGTGAATAGCTCGTCGGCTCTGTCGTTTTGGCCGTCTTTTTTTTTTTTTTTTCAACTCTGCTGGTTTGTGCTTGTGTTCCCTCTTCTGTGCTGCTACTCTTGTGTTGAGGTTTGTTCGTACATATTTTCTTCTCTTAACAAGTCCCGACATCTCGAGCGAAGAATCGACCAGCCGCGACACCGACGCCG